ATTCACTCACTCACCCACCCCATTCACTCACTCACCCACTCACCCACCCCATTCACTCACTCACCACATTCACTTACTCACCCCATTCACTCACTCACCCCACTCGCGAATTCACACCCGGGGCCAAAACCACACCGTTACGAAGTCATAATATTCACCATCATCACCATCATCAGCCATGGTCATTCCACTGCTGGATGAAGGCCCCCCCCCCCCACGCCGCTTGCGTCTACCACCTACACAACACCACTGTTGCTGTACAGATCAATTTGGACACACACGGTTACTCCAATACTATCAACTTGTCGCGTAGCAATGAACTACTCCTGTGACTATTTGGTGATGCTGCTGCTGCGTTGGCATCGGTGCACGAGCAATAAACTCAACACGGTCGGTGCCAACTGCACTCCAAATCGCCGGATGATGCTGGTCGATGTAAGAAATACTACTCCAGTTGTAAATGTTGTGGATTTACCCTCCAACACACCGGTGGGCTGAAGTAGTAACTAATTGGCGTTTTGTTTACGTGACAAATCTCTTACTAGTTGGCTGTGTCGGGTGGTGGTGGGTTACGACGGGTTCATACTTACGCGGTCTAACCCAAAAACCTTGATTATGAATAATATTGGTCGTGAAAGCCCGCTACATGTTAAACATATTAACTACACTGTGGCCTTAACAGTAAATGTATCATAACGTGGGCGACGTGTCGACCAAAATGGGCCTTTGAAATACAGGGACTCATCTCCTTACGAAAATTCGACTTACGAACTTTGAGAGAGAGTTCTGTAATGTCCAGTTGCCTGTTCGGACCAAGAGTCGTAAGTACAACCGCCGCACAATAGATGGCGGTGGTGGCACCAACATCTGCAGAACGTGAAGAACCAGCGGCATCTACATCTGCAGAACGTGAAGAACCAGTGGCATGGCACCTACATCTGCAGAACGTGAAGAACCAGTGGCATGCCACCTACATCTGCAGAAAGTGAAGAACCAGTGGCACCTACATCTGCAGAACGTGAATAACCAGTGGCACCTACATCTGCAGAACGTGAATAACCAGTGGCACCTACATCTGCAGAACGTGAAGAACCAGTGGCACCTACATCTGCAGAACGTGAAGAATCAGTGGCACCTACATCTGCAGAACGTGAAGAACCAGTGGCACCTACATCTGCAGGAGATTATACAACTTGTTAAAGCAATTTCCCGTGTTCGGTGTACACGCCGTACATCATGTTTGGAATCAACAGGAGTATAAAGTTGGACTTGCGAACAAATGGACTTACGAACAGTTCCTCTGGAACCTAACTAGTTCAATTACTGATTGGGTTTTGTTTAAAACAGCCGCGGTGGTGAAAGTAGCGGCCTCTAGTGGTTGCCAAGATTCACGTGACCGCCACGTGTAACAGTTATATTTAGTCACATCTGAATTGGACAATGATCGCAATCGATACGCACTCATATTTTACGTCGTTAAACCATCATAATAGACACGCATGTCGGGAGGCTTGGTTTATCAAACAAAGTTTAAGATCGCGTTCATATAAAGTGTCGTGAAACCCGCCACCACCCGACACAGCCAATTAGTAAGGTTGTCACGTAAACAGAACGTGCCACTGTACTAGTACAGCACTAGTGTGTAGTGTAGTGTATAGTGTAGTGTAGTATATAGTGTAGTGTATAGTGTAGTATACTAGTACAGCAGCACACGAGTTGTGCGTAGGAGAGTAAACCCACGACAAACATTCACAATTATAGTGTAGTGTATAGTGTAGTGTATAGTGTAGTGTATAGTATAGTGTATAGTGTAGTGTATAGTGTAGTGTATAGTGTAGTGTATAGTGTAGTGTATAGTATAGTGTATAGTGTAGTGTATAGTGTAGTGTATAGTGTAGTGTATAGTGTAAAGTGTAGTGTATAGTGTAGTATACAGTGTAGTGTATAGTGTAGTATACTAGTACAACAACACACCGGTGTTGTTGGAGAGTAAACCCACTACAACATTCACAATTCGAGTGAACCGCGACGTTTCGCCGATGATTACAACCAGCCTCATCAGGCGACAGTCAGAATTGTGAGGAAATCCTCCTTCCGTTTCGGTCATAAATAGACGGGGGGGGGATCAATGGGACGTCGTCACTTATGAGCCAATTAGGGTGCGAAGGACCAAATGGGTTGTTCATGTTTTCATATAAATAGGAATGGTCAAATCGATCGATATAAATTGATCAATCGATTACGTCGGGAGGGATATGCTATTAATAATCATCATTATCATCATCTATAATTGAATGATCGTCTTTAAGGAGTGTGAGAGAGATGGGAGCAGCGGCGTGGCCCGGCGTTTTGTGCAATTCCACCACGCGGCCACTGGAGGTCACTGGAGACCACGCGGCATCCACCACGACGCTCACGCGTGGCCGGCGTGCGCGCACGAGGTGGGAGGGGGGGGGCAAGGCGAGCCGAGTTTGAATTTCGCGAGCGACTCTGCATTTGCTCCACCCACAGTCCTCCACCACCACCCCTCCCCCGTTAGCAGCAGCACCACCGCCTTTAGCGAGACATCGTAACACTGAACAGACCCCCTCCCCCCCCTACACACCACACAAAAGCCGAGCCTCGCTTTCCTACCCCCCCCCCCCACCACCATTATCGCGGGCGGTCTTTGCAAGAATAACTCGCATCCCTGAGTAATCAGCAATGCCGTCGCTTTAAATGGGAGGAACAAAAAAAACAGTCGACGTTTCGGCCAACGGTTCTTTAAATGGGAGGAACAAAATAGTCGACGTTTCGGTCAACGGTTCTTCCTCATGCGCTGTCGCATAACACTGCCCTAAAAAGCGGGAGGGGGAAGATATATTTGGCGACGTTTCGCACAATATATGCCACAAAGGCCCATTGCCCGAAACGTCGCCATGTTACACGGTGCTACCGAATTCCCCCCTTCATGAGATGGGTATTAAGTGACGAACTGTGCGCGGGAGTTGTCTCGTGAATTGCGCCACCGCCAAACGGCATCTTCGCAAATAAAAATCTCTTGAATATGAAGACAAAATAAATCTCTGCATGCTCTGCGAGAGATACACGCGGGATGGGGATTGTGTGTGGGGGGAGGCGGGGCCGGGCGTTTGGGTTTTGGGGTAATTTTTTAAATACCCCCCCCCCCCAATTTTTTTTTACATGTTACAACCTCAACAGGTCCGTGGTTTGTCATCTTGAACATGGTTGGGAGGGGATTTCTGTCGTCTTAAATATAAAGCAGCTTTATGGGCGTTATTATGTGTGTGTGTAATGTGTCCAACTGCTATGGCTTTTCGGTAAGCTCGATGGGCTGCGAATGTTTGGCGCCGTGATTATCGGGCTCCATCCAGGTGCCATCGCCCGCGTCCCTCCTGACCCACCCCCCGGCCGCCCGGCCCCCCGCCCCGACAACTCCGCGCGTCTCCCACAGAGAGCGCTTCTCTCGCGCAAGGCGTCGCGGCGTGCGGCTTCCCGGTAGGACGACGCGAAATTAACAATTCCGCTCGCGTCTCTCTCCCCTCTCTCCCTCTCGCTCGCCACACAAAGGGGAGCGGCGGACTGGAGCTTGCGAAGGGAGCGGTAATCTCCCCCTCCCCCGCTCATCCTCCCCTTACCCCCCCCTCTCCCAACTACCCTCCCCCTCTTTCTCTCTCTCCCAACTACCCTCCCTCGCTTACCCCCCCCTCCCGGCCACTCTTCCACCCACTATCCCCCCCCACTCCCTTCCAGCTAACCTCCCCCCCACGCGCCTCGTCCCCCCACCCTATCCTCCCTCCCCCCCTCCTCCTCCTCCCCCCGAGATGCATCGACCACGGCTCCCGTGTTCGAGGCATCGAGACAACACAAAGACAACAACGCTGTTGCATACAGACGCGTACCGCGCAATGCACGCACGGAAAAAAAGATACCCCGTGTAGCCTTAAACTGTAGGGGCAAGTGCTGTTAGCGAGCACCTATGAAAGCCGGCACGGCACACGATGGGGTGGGTGGCCAACACCACGCCCGGCCGCCTTTGTCTCCCTAATAGAAATGGGGGTTTTTTGTGCACATAGCACCGGGTATTCAATTGAGGCCGAGTCAACCTAGGGGAGGCCCAGGACCGGTTCAGATAATCGTCACTGGTGTTGGCCATGAGCGGGAATCGAACTCGGGTCGCCGGGTTCGTGGTGCAGCGTAGCGCTAACCGCCGCACCGCACACATCCCGTACATTGCGCGTGTGTGTGTGTGCTTGCAAGTGCATTAAAACACAGACACACGCGCACGCTTGCAAGTGCATGTCTACTCACACATTACACAGCCATAATCATCACCATCACACAGCAACAGCACAAGTGAGCTGCCAAAAACACCCGGACGAGGCTTCAACAACTCAGCACTCGCCCCCCACCCACCACCACCCCTCTCCACCTTACCGCTCTCGCCCGCTCACTCAAACGTCCAAGCGAAGCGAGGACAAAGAATTATAACAAAAAGATTAACCCGCACCGCACACAACGACCGATTATCCACGGCCTCCAATTAGCACGGTTGGCTACGTGCGGTGCGAAAGAAGTTCGACATTCATAGCATATACATAACACGCGTACAATTACTCTCGCCACCGCCATCCTCACGGCGGGCTCCGTCATCCGCTAACTTCGCCCGCCTTTATCTCTCTACCCCCCCCCCGGCCCCGGCTCCGGCTCGGAGCGCGCGCGATTCAGCGCGAGCAAAGCGATCGAACGAGCAGAGAGACACGCGGGGTACATGTACACACACACACACGCACCCGTACATACAAACACGCGCCCGTACATACACACACACACACGCCCCCGTACATACACACACACGCGTACACACACACGCGCCCGTACACACACGCACCCGTACATACAAACACGCGCCCGTACATACAAACACGCGCCCGTACATACACACTCGCACGCACCCGTACACACACACACACTCGCACGCGCGTGCACTGGGAACTGACCTGTCCGTTGAGTTTTTGGGGCGATGCCACCACCGCGTCTCCCACGGTTTCGCGGTTGCCCGCCTTGGACAACTGTCCGCCCATGCTTGCGCTGAACAATAGGCACGCTCGAGACGGCGAGAGGAGAGGCGCGAGAGAGAGCGCGCGCGGTGCGAGCGAGAAGATATTTGAGACAAAGGAAAGCGAGAGAGAGAGAGAGCGAGCGAGAGAGAGATGGAGACCTCTCTCCAGACAGCCGCTGCCGCCTGTAGCTTTGCCGGACAAAAAAAATATCTGTCGCCTCGTTTTTTTTTATTATAATGCGAGTAGCTCCCTCTCTCGCTCGCTCGCTCACTCCACCCACCACCTCCTCCTCCTCCAATCCGTATTCCACACCGCGTGGGGAGCGAGCAAAGGAAGACGCCCGACGAAGCGTCGGTCGCGGCGATTAACGAACAAGCAGCTGAGAGCGAGCGAGCGAGGGAGCGACACGTGTCGAATAAAACGAGGGGCGAAGAAAAGAGGAGGAACAGGCGCGAGAGCGAGGAGGAGGAGAGGCGGGGGGGGGGTGTCGCGGCGTGGGTGGTGGTGGAGTTGTCGGATGAAACTCTCCGGGAACGACAACGTCGAGTGGGCGACTGCGCTACCGCTGGTTGCTCTGCCGGTGGCTAGATGGGGGCGGGTGCGTGGGGAGTTAAAGGAAGAGGAGGCCAAGGGAAGTCGCTCTCTGTCGCTCCGGCTGCTGCTGCGCTCCTCCGCGCGCGCTCCCAGCTCCGATCTGCGCGACGCGCGCGCGCTCCCTCGACTCCCGGGGCGCGCGCGCGCTCCCCCTCGAGCGCGCGCGTGCGCGTCACAGGCACCCTCCCCTCATCCCGTCCCCGCCAGCCAATTAGGAGCCGCCTCGCGGTGGCGGGGAGGTGGGGGGTGTGTGGCGGCGTTGGCGGCGCCGTGTGGAGGGGGAGGGGAAGGTGGCAGGGGGCGTGGTTTCGCATAAATCAGGCGAACAATGAGGAGGGGGGTGGGGCGGAGTACGGGGGAGGGGGGAGAAGGAGGACGTGGGGGGGAGGGTGGGGGGTGGAAGACGGGGGGAGATGGGGGAGGGGAGATGAGATTTCTTTTTTTCTCCAGAAAATGTTTTACGAAAAGAGAAACCGAGAGACGTAGAGGATGGTAGTGGAAGAGAGAGAGAGAGGAGGGGATGGGCTGGGATCGTGGCTGGGTGGATGCGGCGAGACGAACGCGGGAGAGGAGATGAATTGAACTCCACCTCGCTCGGTTGCGCGCGATCCGTCGCCACTCATTGGCAGAGCCTCTAGCGCGCTCGTGAGTCGCGCTCGTGAGTCGCGCTCGTGAGTCGCGCTCGTGAGTCGCGCTCGTGAGTCGCGCTCGTGAGTCGCGCTCGTGAGTCGCGCTCGTGAGTCGCGCTCGTGAGTCGCGCTCGTGAGTCGCGCTCGTGAGTCGCGCTCGTGAGTCGCGCTCGTGAGTCGCGCTCGTGAGTCGCGCTCGTGAGTCGCGCTCGTGAGTCGCGCTCGTGAGTCGCGCTCGTGAGTCGCGCTCGTGAGTCGCGCTCGTGGCAACTAGCGATAGTCGCGCGCGTGCTGTGAGCTCGATTCGTTATTGGACAAAGCACCGACCATCCATGGCACACACCGCATACGTTGCGCGCCCACCGCTCGCACGCGTCTTCACGCATTCGGCCACCCACCATCCGATGCGCGCGTGCATTTGCAATCCTATCTATACACCCACCCATCCAAAATCCCATGCCATCCACTCATCACCCATCTTCCACACATCAACCCAACATCGTCTCGCCCGACTCCCAAAAACCCAAAAACCACACACGCCAACTCCACCCCCTCCCTCTCACCATCGTCTCTCCCTCCACCTCCCTCCCTGCACCCCGCCCCTCCTCCCTCACCTCATCACCATCCCACCCCCCTCCCGTTCTCGCATCCCCCTCGGCGCGTCCCTCCCCCTCCTCCCCACGACCTCCTCCTCCTCCCCCCGCGAACCCGCGGTCCCGTTTAAGAGCGACGTGTTGGGTTCCTCTCGTTCCGTGTCTCTCGGTCTGTCGCAGCGCCTCTTGCTCTCACCCCGCCGTCTCCCGTGTCTCCGCGGCGTCTCACCACGTGTCCCCCTGTGTCCCTGCATCGCTCCCATCGCATCCTCATCCCGTCATTCAACGTCTCTCCCATCGTTGTCCCTCCGTATATTTACGTGTCATGGTCTCGGTTTGTATATCTCCGTCGCTTGCTGTATCCACTGAATCGCACTCTCTGTCTTTACGTATTGTTCTGTGTCTCTCCGTGCGCGTCCTTGTCTCTCTCTCTCTCTGGGTCCATGTCTCCGTGTCTTATCACGTCTCATTCGTCACTCCACTGATTCTCGTATTCCCGTTCACCCCCCTCCCTCCCTCTCTCCCCGTCTCTGACCGTCGTCTCTCCGCGTCTCTCCTTTCCAGCGCCCGATGGAATTCGGCGTTCCGAGTCAACGCGGAGAGAGTACGGCGACTATGAGCGGAGTCTGTGAGTGAGAGAGCGAGCGAGCGAGAGAGAAAGTGTGAAGGAGGCAGAGGGAAAGAGCGATCCGAGAGAGAGGAACCCAGGGAAAGCGAGAGAGTGGGGCAGAGGGTCTCGGATTGCGTTCAAGTGACGCCGCGGTGGCGAGATGTCATCACCATCGCCTGGTGTACAGGAGGTCGTCGGTTCGATCCCGACCCTGACGCCCGCTGTATATTTGGAGTTTGCATCTTCTCCCCGTGGATTTTTCTCCGGGTCCTTCAGGTTGTTTCCTGCGCATTAAGAATCAACATCGCGCTTTGAGAGTATTTGGCTGCAAACAAAAAAGTGTTCACGTGATGACAAAGCCACTTCGCTGAGCTATTATCTGTGGTCACGTCGCTTCTGAAAAAAAAGAGTTACACAGCTCAATGTGGCCTTTAACTGGTAAAATTGTGTTAGTTTAGAGACGCGAGGAGAAATAGTCAGGGATGGAGAGATGAGAGGGCGGCAGGGAGAGAGATAGTGTGGAGGGATTCACTAGGATGGGGAGTCGCGGATAGATGGAGAGCAAAGGACCCTGACGAGAGGGAAGATCCCAGGGAGAGAATGAGAGAGGGAGATGGAGAGGGGGCGACTCTGCGAGAAGGATCCGGAGAGAGAGAGAGAGAGACTGGTCAGGGTGCCGGCGAGAAGTGGATCCATGGAGAGAATTTGCGTGTCATCCTTGCGCAGGGGCCATGCTAATCTTCTCTGTGTCGTTCCAATTGTAGTAGATGTACTGCCGGAGCAAGTACATGGAGAGAGAGGGGGCAAAGGGAGTCGGAACCCAGGGAGGGATTGAGACACTGAGATCCTGAGAGTGAGAGATAAGCGGGTGAAGTGAGAGGGGCACAGCGAGTGAGAGAGACGTTTTACTTTTAAAACACTTTCATTGCTGCCAGCAGCAATAGCACTGAAGCCGATTTCAGCGAGGTGAGAGAGCGAGGCAGAGAGAATGAGAGTGGCAGTGAAAGTGGCAGTGAGAGTGAGTGAGAGGCGGGGTGAGGTGAGATAGAGAGAGAGTAGCAATGAGATCGAGAGTGACGGGGAGAGTAAGGGAGAGGCAGAGAGGGTGAGAGCAGGCAGGACGAGAGAAGCTGGCAGGGTGACAGGGGGTACGGGTCGGGGAGCTGTGAAGTGAGGGGAACACGGATCCATAGCGAGAGAGAGAGAGACGCGGCGAGAGAGCTAAGAGAGAGAACCCTTCAAGAATTTGCGTGTCAGAGAGAGAGAGAGCGATTCAGTCTTGGAAAATGTGAACCAGGGGAGAGTGAAACTAAAATCCAGAGACGGAAGAAATAGTTCAGAGGTGGATCCATGGAGAGAGAGAGAGGGGGGGGTGGGGGGGGGGGTAGACGGGCGGGCAGGTAGTCTCCTGGACATCTGTGAAGAAAGAGCTTGAGAGCTCATCGGATTCCTCCTGCAGTGTCAACAAATGCAGATTCTGTTTCTGGGCCTCATGCCCCTCTCTCTCTCTCGCTCTCTGTCCCCTGTTACATACAGGTCGCCTCGCGCCCGCTCCCCTGGAGCGCTCTCTCTCTCTCTCTGTGTGCCGCGGGGCGCAGTCGAGTGAGTCGCCGTACTCGCCGGGAGCAGAGGAAACCTATGCTACCGATGGCTTATCCCTGGACACGACCTTTGACCTAGGTCAACAACAACAGCAGCAACAGCAGTAGCAGCAGCAACAACAAAAACGAGCGACAGAAAAACGTTCCGCCGTGCAAAATCTTACCGGTTTGTTTGTTTCGCGAGAAATGATCGATTTTTATCCAATTTGTTTTGGTGGGGAGAGAGCTATGGGTTGGCAAACTTTTGACTGAAAGCTATGGCGGTATATTGTTGATAGATTTTGTTTTATTAATCATTCGTTTTCATTAAAACATCCTATTATTAAAATCTCCCGGTATGCTTCGAATCGTCACCGGGAGAACGATGCCAATTCCGTGAGAGCAGTGGTGCTTAGCCTTTACTGCAGCCTTGCACCCCTTTGGTTATACATCGTAAAAATAAATATAATGTTAATAAACACGTAGGGTTTGATGAAACAAAGTAGTTGTACTTACGTGCCCGTGCTTAATTTGTGCTTTGGATGATTTAGCTTCCAAAAAAAAATCACGAAACAACAATCGGGCATCACGTGGGTTTGGAAGACTGGATCTGCGATATTTTAGGGGCATTGGTGAGTCCACTGCTGGGATGAGGGCCCCCCTCTTCGCCGCCGCATGGACCCTTGGGGGACCGCTGGGCCCATGCCTCACCAGTGGCATGGGCCAAGCAAGAAGATTGAGGAGGGCCAGAGCCGAGTCGGCGAGCACTCTCGTCACCGATGTCGCGCCGTGGCAGGGAATCGAACTCTCGCTGTGTCAGGACCATGGCGCAGTGCGCTAACCACGGCGCCACCGCGCACCCATTCCACTGTACAGTGCAGTAATTGTCGGTAGGCAATGGCGCAGCACCTGCAATTGCCCGCTCTCGCTACTGCTGGAGGAAGCGCCGCCAACTCAATGTAGCCGCTCTCGGGAGCCGCTCTAGAAGGCGTTGGAGCCTCCTCTTTCCACCCTGGGTCGGATGTCTCGGAAGAGGTGGGACCCACGTGGTGTGTTGGTACCCACACTTTACCCCACCGCACGTGGCCCGCCATGCGCAACACGTTGCGATAGGCCAGTCTGGGTGCGGGACGGCGTTGCGGGCAACGGAGGGCAGCGCAGCAAAAAAACATTGCTGTACGCTACTTATATGCTCCCACGTCTGTGCTCCCCGCCCTCATCAACCAGCGTGATGAAGTACGGTTAGGTAACACCCCCCCCCCCTCCAACTCTACGGACCCGCACGGGGTGGAGCGGAGGCTCTCATCCAGCAGTGGATCGACAGCAGGGGTTGCACAGGCGCGCGTGTAATAACGCTGCAACAGCCGCGCACGTCGGCTTGCTATGAAGCCGGGTCGGGTCAGTTCATGGTCTGTCTTCCGGGTTCACGGGGACCTGCACCCGCATCGCCCCGTCTCTCTCTCTCCCGTGTTTACAGAGTTTCCAGTTTCTCAGTGAGATGTGACTTCATTCCGTGCCGCACCACCACCACCACCCCCTCCCACCTCCCACCTCACCGCCCACGATCGTCCGCCAAATCTCTGTCGTCGCTCCCTGCACCACAAGGTCGGGGATTTATTTTTTTTACTTCCCAACGAAAGTTTTTACGCTCTGGCTCAGGGTTTGAGGAAGCAGTTTCAACCTCGCCCCCCCACACACCTCTCTGTCCAAAAGCCGACCCCGCTG